GATGATCAATGATTCTCTCTCATCATTGATGTTTCTATCTCTCTCTCTCTCTCTCTTCCTTCCTCTCTGAAATAAAAAAATATATATTTTAAAAAATTAGGTTATATGAGACTAAAAGAATGGAATTAGGCAAGTGAACTGAGTCATCATAAGTGGCAACAACGTAAAAAAGGGTTAGAGATGACCACTGCCTTCCCCAAGCTTCCCACAATTATAAATACAATTTATAACCTGAATTTCAAAATCTCTTAGGTAGGTATTTATTCAGTTACAAAGTAAATTCTATGATAGATCATTGTAAACAGCAGACTATTACTTTTTCATTCTCAGATGTACACAATTATCCTCTACAGCGGTTCTCAACGTGTGGGTCGTGACCTATTTGGGGGTTGAACGACCCTTTCACAGGGGTCGCCTAAGTCATTGTAAACAGCAAACTATTACTCATTCTCAGATGTACACAATTATCCTCTGCAGAGGTTCTCAACCTGTGGCTTGCGACCCCTTTGGGAGTCGAATGACCCTTTCACAGGGGTCGCCTAAGACCATTGGAAAACACATATATAATTACATATTGTTTTTGTGATTAATCACTATGCTTTAATTATGTTCAATTTGTAACAATGAAATTGGGGGTCACCACAACATGAGGAACTGTATTAAAGGGTCGCGGCATTAGGAAGGTTGAGAACCACTGCTCTAAGGATTAATAAACAGTAAGACTACACTGAACTTTCATGCCAGTCGTGACAGGAGGAATTGGTCAAGGCTAACCTCTCCACTCCGAACAACTATAAAAATGGACAACATGTATAAAGGAATTGTTTTCAAAAACTGGACAACAGGATCGCAGTCCCGGGGAGAAGGGGAACACCTGAAATGAGCCCTACAATCGCCTGGCTCTTAACCATGCAGGCACTTTCCAGACGACAGCACATGGGGTGAAGCCCAAATGGAACACAGACGTCGCTGAGCTCAGGAGGCAGACGTGCAGCTTGGCCCTGCTGAGCTGGATGGCATTGAGCAGGGTGATGGGAAGAAGGCAGCCACCCAGAGAAAGAGCTTCAGAAATCTATAAAGGGGTCTCTTTAGGCCTCTGGCTGAAAATGAGCTTGCATATGCAGACGGCAAGCTCTCCTGAGGTCTTGCAGAGAACAGGCATTGGGGAGCTATGGAGAAAAGGGTGATTCCGGAGGTCACCCGAAGCAGGGAGACAGAATTCTGACCAAAGGGTAGAGCAGTCATTGAATGCTCCAGTCATCAAATGGATCCTGAGAAAGGCCCGTCAAAAGCAGAACTGCGCTAGACACGTCTTTTTTTTTTATTTTTTTTTTATTGCTAAAAGTATTACAAAGGGTATTACATATGTGTCCTTTCCCCCCCGCCCCCCACCCTTGACAATCCCCTGGCCTCCCGGAACACAGACGTCGCTGAGCTCAGGAGGCAGACGTGCAGCTTGGCCCTGCTGAGCTGGATGGCATTGAGCAGGGTGATGGGAAGAAGGCAGCCACCCAGAGAAAGAGCTTCAGAAATCTATAAAGGGGTCTCTTTAGGCCTCTGGCTGAAAATGAGCTTGCATATGCAGACGGCAAGCTCTCCTGAGGTCTTGCAGAGAACAGGCATTGGGGAGCTATGGAGAAAAGGGTGATTCCGGAGGTCACCCGAAGCAGGGAGACAGAATTCTGACCAAAGGGTAGAGCAGTCATTGAATGCTCCAGTCATCAAATGGATCCTGAGAAAGACCCATCAAAGCAGAACTGCACTAGACACGTCTTAACATCGCTGAACAATAGCCTTGAAAGGATCGATCTGGTCTGTTCGGAAATCATCTGTTTTCCCAAATAAAGCTCCGCAGTCTCCAAAGCATGCACTGTCAGCAGAGGTGCTAGCATGCCCATGGAGGCAAAATCTGGTTCTTGGGAGGATGGAGAATCTTACATTTTACACAGATGTGTGGTCCTCCAAAGGGCCACTGCACATGAGCAGACATAGACATGCAGACATACAGAATATCTGTGATAGTAACATTTCATGGGGGAGGGGAAGGAAGGGAAATTATTTTTAAAAAGTCTAAAAATGTTCCTTAGAAGTGTAATGTAATAATGGAAAAAGATTGAGATGCACTGCTCTAAAGGAAAATGACAGCCCTAGCTGGTTTGGCTCAGTGGATAGAGCATCAGCCTGCGGACTGAAGAGTCCCAAGTTTGACTCTGCTCAAGGGCACATTCCTGGGTTGCGGGCTCGATCTCCAGTGTGGGGCATGCAGGAGACAGTCGATCAATGATTCTCTCTCATCACTGATGTTTCTATCTCTCTCTCCCTCTCCCTGCCTCTGTGAAATCAATAAAAATATTTTTTTTTACAGGGGCATGTACCTGGGTTGCGGGCACATCCCCAGTAGGGGGTGTGCAGGAGGCAGCTGATCGATGTTTCTCTCTCATCGATGTTTCTAGCTCTCTATCCCTACCCCTTCCTCTCTGTAAAAAATCAGTGAAGTATGTATTTAAATATATATATATATATTTTAGAAAAAGGAAAATGACAAAATCTACGCTTTAACAACACATGATCCACAATACTGAGCACAGGATAATCAAATTACTAGACATGTGAGGAAGCAATGGAACAGAATAGAAATCCTGGGAGTTGACCTAGATTTCATCCAGCAGGCAATGAAGACTCTGTGGACAGTGGGACATATTAAGATCAGTGTGTGAGAATTCTGAAACGCTGAAGAGGGTGGTTTAAGTGGGAGAGGAACAAAAGGAGGAGAGGCTACTACAGCATCCAGACTGAGGAACATGAAGGTTGCCAGCAGTGGAGGTGGGACAGGAGACAGCTAAGTGGCAGAATGGTTAATTCGCAATAACCAACTAGATGTGCAAGGTGATGGAGAGGGGAAAATCAAAACGAGGACTCGGAAGTGACGAGTACTTGTCAAATTGAAGTGTTTGTGTTGAATGGATTCTGGGAGAAGTATCCAGCAAATACTAAGAAATAGGCATCTCAGAGGTCTGAGTTAGAAATGCAGTGAGTAAGTGAGTGAGAAGCAGCCTGAAGAACCCAGGGAAGGCTAGGGCCATCTTAACTATTTTTAAGTGAACAGATCAACAGTGTTAAATGTATTCACATCGTTGAGCAACCAATCTCTAAAAGTTTTCCTTTTGTAAAACTGAAACTCTATACCCATTACGCAGTAACTGCCCATTTCCCCCCACAGTCTTGCTGACTTTTGCAACTTCCACATTCTTGGCTAATCCTCTGAAGTCATGGATGAACCTCTTGAGTGTCCTCTTCACACCTTGGTGACATCACCCTGAACCCAGGAGGGCATCTTGGGTGAGGGGTGGGGGTGGGGGAAACTGAGTCATTGGTCGTCCATGATTTCTTATTGCTCCTGCAGGACACTGGCAGTGTGTGCTTACTGATATGCTGGAAGGCCCGGGTTCTCATTGCACCAATCACAAAGGATTTCTGTCTGCAGCCGACGACACTCCTACCAAGGCTATGAACCTGTCCTCTATGGCCTTGAGGCCCGGCACTGACTTGGCTTACTTACCGGTGCAAGTCCTTCCAGGCATCTGTTTCCAGAATAGGGAGGTTTCGTCCATGTTGAAGATTTGCTCTGGCAGGTAATTTCCCTCCACAGTCAGCTTAGCTAGAGTTGCCAAAAATCCTTCAACTGCCTTCTCACCAGCACCTGCTGACTCAGCACTCACTTTCACGTTACGTAATGAGTAACAGCTCTTGAACTGTGTAAACCGCCCAGAGTAGCAGTAAACTCATCATCACAGCCAGGTCCAGCCTCATCATTCAACACTGCAAACAAACTTTCCGCTTTGGCCGTGACGGTCCTGGTGCTGAGAGGGACACGCTGCTGTCTGGTCCTCCCTCCAGGGCATTAGAAGTTTCCCCATGTCTGACACAGGCCCTTCTCTAATTTTGGTTAAGTCTCATTGCCTTCAATGAAGCAGATGCTTTAATAGCTCCTGTCACTTTGTTCTGTTCTGAGAGATCGTAGCACTGGTGGCACTGGGAATGCCTGACGAGAGCAATAGCCACCACTGATTTTCTACCTTCATCGTCCTTACTCACTTTAATTTTGACTTCAATCAGTCCACAGGGCCTCTTACTGGCAACATTAGCAATGGGTTTTGTATGGTTAGGGGCACGATGAATGAAACAACATGAGATTAAATCAAGCACAAGAGAATATGATGTAACCAGGAGATATGTAGTAAACATGGGATGTATGAGGCTGTTTCGAGCATAGAACAGCACAGTTTCACAGCAACCTTTTTTTAATGTAAGTACAAAGAGTACACTCTAAAATTATAATAAAAAATACACTATAGTATATGCCTAAACCCGTAACATAGTCAGTTGTTGTCATTATCAAGCATTCCGGACCGTAACTTATATACAATATACTTTTATATGACTGACAGTGCAGTACATTTTTAAAAATATCACCACAAACACGAGAGCAAGGCATTGAGTGGGGACATTATGACACCATTATTACAACAGCATTAGGCAATAGAATATTTTCAGCTTGATTACAATCTTAAGGGACTACCATTGTATATGACTAAACATCATTAGGCGACACATGGTTATATAATTTCAGGACATTTATGAGTCTCTTAAGTCCATCTGTGAATATTGCAAACTTTGTAAGGCCTGAAATTTGGTTTCAAAATTCTAATAAATGGTAAATACCAGGGAATACTATCCAAACTCAAAGGACCACCTAGTTTGGATATGTCTGTGCGTCATGAATCCAGTATCCCTTGAATTCCATCATTAGCTAGCTCTGTGAACATTTTTAGGTCCAGGGTCACAAACAATGAAAGGCATTGCTTGTCTTTTGCACAACCTCCTGAAGACGACACACTTAATGCTGAGTGAGGCGAGGCATGTGAAGGAAATGTCAGAAGACATAAATAAAAATTCAGTATAAAGATCAGTAAATATGACAAGGATGGGATTTGACTCACAAAATCTGTTTCAAGTTTTCCCATTTCTTGCTTGTAGCTTCTCATTCTGTTGCTGTACATTCCTCGACTTTGGGGTGGTATCTCTCGGACTTCCAAATCCATCTGCTCAAGCTGACAGGGTGAGAGCAAAACGTCATTGAAACCATATGCTTACTCTTTATTTGACCAGATGTTTAGAGCGGAAAGGATTTCATTTCCATTCTTCACTTTACAGTTGAGGAACCAGGTCCAGGGAGTTACCCGCCTGGGATCAAATAATATTGGGACTACGTTTGTGCTTAATTTTTGATTAGGTGAACAAATAGTTAGAGTGCTTGCCAAGTGAGACATAGAGCACCAAAGTACTTACTTTCTCAGGAATTTCTATTAAAACACATGCATTAATCCAAACATCCTTAATAATAATGATTTTAATATGCTTGAAGTATCCCATCATTCAGTCCAACCTGGTCAGGTGTTTTGACCCCAAACCACCAGGACTATGGGAAATAAATCAAACCATTATTTCCAACCTTAAGCACACAGTGTCTGCCCAGCCTCAGTCATTTGGTAAAAATTCTTCCAGAAAGTCTTTTCTGATTAGGAAAATCACATACCAACCAACATGTGATCTCAACCTGCAGCTTCACTTCTTACACTTTATTACCATGTTGATTTGGAGTTAAATGGATACAGTAAAATGTTAAATTATACAAAGCTCACTGAAATCACAGCAGGGCACTTTTTAACAACCTGTCATCATATAACACTTCAAATACAACACATGAGAATCTAATGGGAGGCAGTACAGAAATATTATGATGGTTAAGAAGACAGGCTTTTAAGTCAGATGCCTGCATTCACACTCATTTAGGACCACAATGCAGTAACAAGTTAAATCATACTTGCAATATCTGGCTTTTAAAATTGGGATACAATATTTTTTCCCCCTGTGAATGTATTTATATTAAAAAAAAATAGTGGATGACTTAGAGCGCTGGGTTTAGCATATACTAGTATAGATACAAATTCTTAATCTACCACTTATTGGGTGTGGACCTCAGACCAGCTACTTAATCTTTCTAAGCCTCAGTATTCCCATCTATAAAATGGGGGGAGGTGCGTAATCACAGTGTTGAAAATCACTCCTCCATGGTTTTCTCAGACTCCTTGTAAGTCTTGCTGGGCATGCCAAGAATGCAAGGCCCTAACCACTCTTTTCCCTGGACATTTCTCAAGGTAGTATTTGCAGGGAGCAATGCTGGGAGAGGAACTTCTGGGACAGAGGGAAGGCTTGCTTACAGGCTGCTGTAAAGCAGTATGCTTCCCAGGCTCCATGTTCCTCTCCTGTAAGACATCCTACTGTATGTGTGGGCATACATCTGGGCCACCTCTGCCACTCCTGTGGGAATTGGGCTCAGGGAACTCATACAAGGATGCTCAAACTCTGGCAGCTGCTTTCGCTGTGAGTGATAAAAGTCTTTTGTCTCTGACCTCAGAACCTAATGTCTTCTATTAGCATCCATGAAATTGTGGCAAGCTCGCTTATTAGTGAGCAAGTAGGAAAAAATCTCAGATCCTTAACAGTTTTTGACAAATAGCACTTGTCTCCCAGAGTTTTTATAAAAATTAATATTATTAATATTATAAAACAAGTAATATGCTTATCCCAGTGTCTGGTACCCAGTATGCCTTTAACAAGCATTGGCTAGCGACAGCTATTATAAAATGTATTATTAAGGAATAAAAATTAGAGCTGGATATTTAATGAATCACCTTTATTAAGAAAAACAAAATCCCAAGGAACTATTAAATTCTCTTCAATTTGAAAATGAATGAATTTTAAATTATAAAATGCTAATTAGCCATTTTACATTTCTGAAATAAAACAGGCTAGTGAAAGGCATCAGCTTAAATGACTCTGATCGTGTGTTAAAATATATTACCGAGTCTGTACATACCAGTTCTTTTGCTTCTTCAAGCTGTTTCTCCACATTTGCAACCATCTGTTTCTTCTCATCTGAAACAGACAATAATATCAGAAAATTGCTAAGAAAATACATAAATTTAATATTTAAAAACTTCTATTTTTCTATACCTTTTTCCTTTCTGATCAGTCAAACTGAGAATTACCATACCAGGCAACTGGCCATATCATTCTTTGGTGGGTTAGAAACCACTCTAAAGCCACTAATTCTAGGCTATCTAGAAATACATAATCTTATGGAGTACCTAGTGATTAAGGGATGCCATAACAGTTTAAAAAGAAACCAAAAATTACTTTGTTCTTTAGAAGAGACTGTGTCAACAATAGCAGTTTTAGTGGTGGCATGAAGAATCTGCAAACTCTTCACTATAATGAATTGGGAATAACTGATTTACAGATACAATTTAAAAGTCACAGGCAAAAGCAATTCCTAAAACTGGACAAGATCTTAACAATCCCCAGTGTGGGGTGTGCAGGACGCAGCCAATCAATGATTCTCTCTCAGCATTGATGTTTCTATCTTTCTGTCCCTCTCCCCCTGAAATCAATAAAACAAACAAAGATATATATAAATAATAAAAATGAAAAATAAAATAAAAAACTGCACTTCAGTTAACACTAAAATTGGGTGTAACGGAGGAAATATTTGAAGTTAGGGCTACTGATTCCAAACCCAAAGTCACTAACTACTCACTGATTATGGAATATTGGGTAAGAACAGTCTGTACTCTCAAAAATGGAGATGAAAAATGCCCACTGCATTATCTTTAGTTTAAACAAGCTGATACAAGTGAAATTCCTTTTAAACTGTGAAGTGCTAAGTCTCTGTATGTGGTTTATTCAAACTCTACCAAAACCAAGTTATAACGGAACTGGAATCCCCTTTTTCGGGAGAGACACATCCTGGCAGGTATTTTCAGAAAATGCCCCCCACCTCACCCCCATTCGAAACCATTTGTTCTGAGACAGCACTTACGTTTTGTGCTAACCAAATTTATTGAACATGTATCGTTTTTGTCTGCCTAGCACCCTTCTTTTCTCAGGCAATAACCCCCACTCTTTTTAAAAAATATATATTTTATTGATTTTTTACAGAGAGGAAGGGAGAGGGATAGAGAGTTAGAAACATTGATGGGAGAGAAACATCGATCAGCTGCCTCCTGCACATTCCCTACTGGGGATGTGCCTGCAACCAAGGTACATGCCCTTGACCGGAATTGAACCTGGGACCTTTTAGTCCGCAGGCTGACGCTCTATCCACTGAGCCAAACCGGCTAGGGTAACCCCCACTCTTTTGAGGCTCTCCTCCACCACACAGGTCAGTGGGAGATGCTGTCTCTTCCTATGACCCTGCCTCTTCAGTCACAGTGACTTGGCAAAAGATGGGCTCCTCATCCTAGCTAGACCAATCCTAGTAGCTCAATCCAAGCCGACCAAGCAAAGTGCTGGAGCCGTGGGGAAGTCTTTTCCTCTCCCTTGGTAGAGTTACGAGAACAGGCATTTAGAAGCTGTTGGCATCCACTGGCCTAGCTACAAAGAGCAAGCATCAATGGTTGAAAATGAAGCCTACCTTTATAAAGAAACAAAGCTGAGAGGTAGACAGATAGGACAGAGGGGACAGACAGACAGACAGACACAAATGGATTAGACAGAGTTAGTTAATTAGTTTCTGGTTGCAGATAATTCTGAAATAGATTTTGCTTGACTTTTTAAGGTTAAGTTCCTTGAACAAACAAGTTTCTTTTTCTTTATTTAAAGTTAGGTTTCTGTGACAAGGAACCCAATGATTACTGACTGACTCATACAACAGACTAGAAAAGTTGTGAAGCTTGAGATGGGTATAACACCTACTAGCTAAATAGCCCTTCAGAAGGACAGCCAACACCAAGTGGGGAGAGAGTAGCTGTCACATAGATTTTATGCATGCACTCCAGCCCATGCCACGGACCTCCAGGACTAACAGACACCAGTATTTCTCATTAACAAAGGAAAACAAAACAAGCAGCCCCCGCCCCCCTCGACCTCTAGTCTCCTTTGCTAACATCTCTCTCCTTCCAGCTACATTCACATTTCCCTCCCTCCTCCCCCATTCCTCCCTGTAATCCCACCCACACCCCACCATTCTACTGAGATGACTCTCACAAGACTAATGACCTTTGTTTGCCCAAACTAATGGACATTCCTTGGTTCTATTTTTATTTAATCTTGTGGCATCTGCCATTATGCTCCTCCCATCCTGTCACTTTCTCCTCTCCTGGCCTCAGTGACACCCTGACTCTGTGACTCTCCTGCTCACTTCTATCTCTGCGTCCTCTGCTGGGCACCCTCTTCCTCAGCCCATCCTCTAACCACCGGTGTTCCTCAGAGTCTAGTCCTTGCTTTCCACCCACCCCCCACCCCATGACTATCATCTATGCCCTTGGCAATTTCATCTGCTCCCAATTATTTACTATCTCATTATCTATTTGTGATGCTAAGTCTTTATCATTAATCCTGATATATTTGCAGGACGCCATACCTTTAATGTCAATGCCTATGCCCATCTCCACTGTGATTACCTGGCAAATTGCTATTCAACACTCTATTCAGAAATCAGTACCTCTAGGAAGCCTTTCCTAACCCAACAAAGTTAACCACTTTCAGTTACATAAAACACCTAAACTTTTACCTAATCTTAGTGATTTCTCTCTCACCTCTACCGGTCTGATTTACCTTTTACCTTGGAGGCTCTCGGAAGACAGGAAGTGTGTCTTAATCATCTTTATAGTCCTACAATCCAGCACTGAGTCTGGCATATAATCAGTTCTTAAACAATGATATTAAATTCAATAAATAATGTAGGCCAGCCCGGCCAGTGTGGGTCAGTGGTTGAGGGTCGACCTATGAACCAGGAGGTCACAGTTCGACCCCTGGTCAGCCGGTTCGATCCCCACTGTAGGGTGTGCAGGAGGCAGTCAATTGATGATTCTCTCTCATCACTGATGCTTCTGTCTCTCTCACCCTCTCCCTTCCTATCTGAAATCAATAAAAACATGTTTAACCATTTGTACACCATAAGCATCTATAGATGCAAGCAGCAGAAATTTTTAAATTCAAAATACTGTGGCAGTTAACTGGTTAAAAAAAATTTATGGCTTCTTCCATACATAGCTATGTCTGATCTCCAAGACTCCAGGGCTTAGCATAACTAATCAGCTAGACTTGAGCATCTCCTCCCGGAAGGGACACTGTCTGGCCCCACCACTCCACTGACTCCCTCCTTAATAGCCAGTTAAAACCCAATTCCAATTTCATATCCTAAAGCCCCTGATCAGTCGTCTCCTTTCAAGTGTAGGTGTTCATCCAGAAAGATTCATCTCACTCTAGTCTAGGCAGAGACAGGAAGCAAGAATTGAGGCCCAAGGTTCCTTTAAAAGTCCAATTAATATAACAAAGTCTGGGGAGCTGAGTCCTGCCAGCTTTTGCCTTCAGCAGTAGCAATAACATCCATCACTAATGGCTAATTCAGGTATTTTCTATAAAGGAAAAAATGTGCTAGTACGTCACATGTTTTATTTCATCTGATTTTTACAACATTGTAACTTTGAAACTAATACCTCCTTCTTCCCCAGTTTTACAGATGGAGGAAGCAGGCTTAGAAAGACCAAGCAATTTGCCCATTTGCCAATTTACATCTGGTCAGTAGCAGAACTGGGACTCTAAACAGATCTGATGCCATGTGTGACTCTTAACCAATTTGCCATAATACCTTTCTTGGTCTTTCTGATTTACAGCCACAAAGTGAATGGTGAGGTATGCAACTAACTGCAAGAGAACATTTTATTAGGTCCTTCAGGCCTGTTGTAATGGAACCTCCACACCTATATAGGGTCCCTCTAAGAATTCATCACCAGAGGGAAAAGAACTCTACAGTTAGTATTAGTAATGGTTTCCACTTATCCATTTCCCTGGCTTTACCACAGAACACTAATCATTAAAATCAAATTTCAAATACAGTGTCATAGAGCATTGCCTAAGAACGGACTGATCCATCTCGTTATACCAATTTATAAAGTTAGTTAAGATTCAAACACTTTAGTGTAAGAGCAAAGTCTTTTTATTGTTGAAAACATATCACAGAGCAATCAAATTTGTTTTAAAATAAAGTTTTAAAATATTTAGTCTTTTCTATTCTCTTTGGAAGTAACATGTTAATACATTGTACATGCACAGCAGAGTGGATTTAATTGCCACCAGTCCTACTCACTCTACTTCAATTTAAATACTAAGTTAATATGTTGAAGAATGAACTGCTTTGACCAAAAAGTTTGCTCCAACTTTTAACCTTCTTAACTGAAGTAAATTATAGTTCCTCTCCTCTGGGTCAACCACCAATGATGCCCAGAGAAAGAGAGTATAGTTACTTTTAATCATACTGTTTTGCCATATTAATTTCAGTTAGTTCATAGACATATATCTGAAATTCATTACTACCTAGATATACTTTCATTTTTTCTATTTATCAATTAGAAACAGATTATGAAGTGAGCAAGCACAAGTAATTATTAAGAGGGGAACCACTGTATTTTTAGGAATAACTAGCATTCAATTATTCAAGTCAGCAAGCATTCTTCCAGTGCCAGACATACAGTCTCCTTTCAATTCCAATATATCTGCTGAGTTTGGGCCTCACATTATTTGAGAGCTAAGGAGAGTCAAGGCTTTATTTTTAAGATACTTAATCCCAATGTTTCCTTCTGTGTGGTAAGAATGGTTACATTAAAATTTAAAGACAAGAAAAAATAAATTCTTGGAAATAGTTTTTACAACTTTGAACTCAGGGATGACTTTATTACTTTATAACACAGCTTCCCAGTACAAAAGCAATTCTCCCAAACAACAACAACAACAAAGTGTTTCTACTGCTAAAACTATTACAATTTAAAATGAGCAAAAATCTAACTGAAACCACAAATCCTCACATTCTGAGGCTCTGGGACTGATGTCAAAGGAAGGAATCTCCAACAGCAAAGACAACAAAAATCAAGATGATCTTGGGCAGTGGAGAAAAGCAGAACTGAAGAGAAGAGGCGAGGTGATGTATCATGAAGTGGTGAGGCCATCAGCCACTTTCTCCACAAAAATTTCTGAGGCAGCAAAGCTTGGTAGTATATGCTACCTTGGGTCTCTCCTCTTGTTCCCTCACTTGGACTCAAAAACCTCTTTAGGACATCATCCATCTCCTGCAGAACTAACTGGGACTTCAGGAGATGAGTGGGTATAAGTTCAGAGATCCTGGCTTCAAGCAAACATCCCTATTAATAGAAATAGGTGGGGGGAAGAAAAACAAGAAAATAAAGGAAAACATTATTTATAAACACATAACTTTGGGGGGGGAGGGGAAGGGAAGAGGAATAACAACTTAGGTCCTAGGGAAATTATTGCTGGCCTCAAGGACTGACTAACAAGGTGAGACAGTGAGGTTGCGCACCAGTTCATATATCAATGAACACTCCTTTTCCTATACTTTACACCCAGAGCTAAGGTAGGACCAAGTCTAGCATCCTAATGATAGTTCAATTTCCCTAAACAACTAAGCCAAAAAGTAACAATCTTATCTGCAAACTATCTCTTCAAATTAAATCTGTATTTAAAGAAAGATAAATCCTAAAACAATGTCTTACAAAAATCACAAAATAGCCCGGCTGGGGTGGCTCAGTGGTTGAGGTTGACCTATGAACTAGGAGGTCACAGTTGATTCCCTGTCAGAGCACATGCCCTGGTTGCAGGCTCCATACCCAGTGTGGGCCGTGAAGGAGGCCGCTGATCAATGATTCTCTCTCATCATTGATATTTCTCTCTCTTTCTCCCTCTCTCTTCCTCTCTGAAATCAAGTTTAAAAAATCACAAAATATCACATTTATATATTTGCTTATTCAAATATCTGATCTCAGCCCCTTCTAAATAAATGCCAATGAATCAAACATACTAGTAACTCCCACTTTCACACAGTTGACAGTCTAGCATAAAAGAAATATGTGCTTAAAAAACAACAAAAAACCCACAACAACACAAAAATAAATACACGTCTGGATAGAAATTGTGGTATTTTAAACGTGAGAGAAATTGTCCTGTACCAAGTTTTTCATAACATTGGCGTATGGTCCCCCCCACCCCAAGAAGGATGAGAAATAATAAATGGAGTTGGGGCTACGAAAAATACAAAAGATAGTAGCAGCTAACACCGAGGAAAGACTTTCCATATGTGAAATAATTTCATCTTCCCAACAACCCTATGAAAGACCTACAATTCTCTCCATTTACCAAGAAGGAAAGTTGAAAGAGGTTAAGAAACTTGCCTAAATGTCAAAACTTCTAAGTAGCAGAGGTGGGATTAGGCACTATGGCTCTTAACCCTGTTTTGCTGCATATAATACTGCCGTCATCACTAACACAACAACGTCAGACCCCTCATCTGCGTACATTCATTCATTCTTTAAAATATATTTTATTGATTTTTTTTACAGGGAGAAGGATAAAGAGTTAGAAACATCGATGAGAGAGGAATATCGATCAGCTGCCTCCTGCACACCTTCTACTGGGGATGTTCCCGCGACCAAGGTACATGCCCTTGACCGGAATCGAACCTGGGACCTTTCAGTCCGCAGGCCAACGCTCTATCCACTGGGCCAAACCGGTCAGGGCTATTCATTCTTTTTGAACACTCTCACATCTCTATATATTACAAACGAAAAACCAACCAACCAAACAAAACAAAAAGTAAGACTCAGAGAAACAGTCCCAAGGGTATGCAAGTAACCGAGCGGCGGAGTCCCGCCTGGAGCCCAGAAGGGCTCTGCCTCCTGCACCCCAGAGCCCAGCTTGGACTGTCAACCACGTTACAAGCTCCGTCGCTGGGGGGGGGGGGGGGGGGCAGCACCACCTCACCCCAGCCTCGCGCCTACGAGGCTCCCTAGTGCAGACGGCGTTCCATCGCCCGCCACCCTCCGCGGGCCATCCCGGCAGGACAGGGCTCTCACCAGGGGGCAGTCGGGGGACCCTGGCAATCTTGCTTGTGATCTCCGCAGTGAGCACCGCGAAGTCCTGCTCGAAGCCTTCGAAGTCGGACGACATGGCGGCTCCGGAGCGACAGGCCAGGCCGGAGCCTAGGTCGGGGCAGGGATAGCGCGGAGCTGGGGAACACGGTATAGGAACCCTAGGACCTGCCCTCGAGACCAGAGCGGAGAACCCGAGACAGCTCCCAGCCCGGCCGCTTCCTGGTTGTCCGTCGCAATCTCAGTCCCCCGGAAACTGGGTTGGTACGCTTTTTAGTTTCCTTTCAGGCTTCAACATGAACACATGCTCTAAGGAAAAGTACTTTAATTAGTGCCTCCAAGAGCCCTCTCAAAATAGTCGTCTTCTAAGGAATCCCTGAAATTTTTTTTTAACCCCTCCACGTTGTGGAAGCGGCTCCAGCTCTCCAAGGTAGAGGTCACAGGAGCTTGCTTCCGGGGGGAAGTTCGAGGCGGCGAACTCCCCGGAAGTGGCTGTCACGGAGGCTGCGCACCGGGCCGGAGCGGGATTCCAGCGGCGAATGCGCCGGCGGAGACCGACTCTTGGTCTCGGGTCCCGCACTCCAGCCTCTAGCAACCGGGATTTGCGTTCTGCTTGTTCTGGACCGAGGTGCCCATGCTGAAGTCACTCGAAAAGGAGAAAATGTGTTCCGGGTGAGCCCAGGCCGCTCCGGAACTGCGATGGCCGAGGAGGGGGCACCAAGGACCAGACTGAGGTGGGAGACCAGGCTGGGGATGTAACCATCATTTTGGCGGTCTCCACGCCACCGAGTTTGGCCAGAATCTCCAGTGCTTTGGGACCAGCCACTCTTCCCAGGATGTTCCTACCCCGAGTGAGGATTTCTAAGAGCTCTACTCCGTGACTCGGGCGGGAAACTGAGGCACAAGGCAGCGGCATCTGTTGCGTGGAAGTCTTTATCGCCCTACACCCCAGAGCTTCTTCCCTTGACTCACTGCGGTTCCATCAGCAATACCCGTCTCCAAAGCTTCCCGGCTCTCGCTGCGGAGGGAACTTCCTCTTCTTTTTTCCTAAAATATCCTCATTCATGTTCTTTTTTTCATGAACGCCCCCAGTCGTGATTTCACACACAGCTCTCTCTCCTCTCCTTGCATTGACCTTTGCTTTCACTCTCTCGCTTCCTTACATTTGGCCCAAGTAGACCCTTAGGTTGGTGTTTTGGGGGCAACCACAGGCAAATAATGTGGACCATGCCTGGCTCATACTTGACTTAATTTGAGACCGGGTGAGAGGTGGTGCAGAGCTCCGTAAAGGGAGTCCAATGACTGGGTTAAGCTATTTCGTTTGACCTGGATCTAATCACCTAGGCTCTCCAAGCCAACTTCTTTTCTCTAAGTAAGGAAGCTGGATTAGCTCAACTCTAAATCCCTGCTTCCCAGCTGTAAAATCTTTGTCTCCTCAAGCCAGTCACTAAACGTTGGACAATCACAGTACCCAGACAATCACGTATCCAGTTTACATGCCATTTAGATTTGAACCCTATTTTGGGTAAGATAAAAATAGATGTTTTGGTTGGTTGTTGTTTTTTTGACATTTGACTAGCTATCCACGGTAGTGCACTGGTGAGATGCTTTTGTTTAGGTGGTTATGGGAGTTAAGTCTAGTGTGTAATAAAATTTTTTACTGAACTTCCTCATTTTCTTTTCTTTAGATTGGGTTTCAAACCAAGATACTGGATTCTCCCAGTTCAGATAAAGAGCTCTGAGCATGTAACAGTGAAAATGGATAACCTGCATTCACAGCGCACAGACTGAAGACATGACACTTAAGGAACACACGTGGACTTGTGGCACATGGATATGTGTGCACAAAAAGAGGAAATCTGTAATTCTTTAAAGATAGGAAGACATTCTTCCTCACCAACATGGGTACTTTCTGCTCAGTTTTCAAGTTTGAAAATCTCCAAGAATTAAAGAGACTGTGCCACTGGGGCCCCATTATAGCCCTTGGTGTTATAGCAATATGTTCTACGATGGCCATGATTGACTCTGTGTTGTGGTATTGGCCCTTACATACAACTGGAGGAAGCGTGAATTTCATCATGTTGATAAATTGGACTGTCATGATTCTTTATAATTACTTCAATGCCATGTTTGTTGGTCCTGGCTTTGTCCCTCTGGGGTGGAAACCGGTAAGAAAAAGATCCCTTTAGAATTTAGATGATGAATTCTAATGATAACCTCATGATAATTTAGTTTTTGCTTTATCTTCTAGCCAATAATATCTAACACAGACTGCTTTTTGCTGTAGTGGGGACTAAGTGCATTGCAGTTACTGGTCCTTTGAAGCTCAGATTATTTATTTCATGCCTGTTTAAAAATACTAATCTAAATCAGTATTTCCCAGAGAATTTTCATTTTATATTTGTCTTGCATTGAGAAAAAAATAAAATAAACATGGAGGGGTGGTGATGAGTCCATGGTCATAAGTTTAGGAAACAATGCATATCACATACACTTTTCTTATTTATGATTTCACAATGTAGTTTGGTTCTATAATCTTTTTACATGTAATACATTAACATCCTCAGAACTGAGGAAAACTTGAAACTTTGGTTTAAATCATAAAGTTTTTAAATCATTGCAGTGAAGATTGGGAAGTACAGTATGAATCAATTTATGGCTCCTTAAAATTTGTTAGAAAGTTTATGCTTATGAATTTCCGTATTCCTTGTTGAGGGACATCGCTTGGTAGCTTGGTAGAAATGCAGAATCTTGAGCTCCACTCTACTGAGTCAAAATCTGCATTTAGTGAAATCTCCAGATGATTCTAAAATATGTTAACATTGGAGAAATACTGGTGTATTGTATTAAGTAAATAAAGAAATGGGTAAGACAATTCATATTCTGAAAAATCTTGTGTAACTGAGGAGAAAAACCAAGGCACTTTAGCAAATAAACACAGAGTAGAATATGAGGAGTGCTGGCGAAGTTAAAAGGAACTGTCGTTTTCAGTTGGGGACCTGTGGGAGGAGTGGGAATTTCCAGAGGAGATGGGAAAAAGGCTTTTCAGGATTTCAGGTTGAGTGCATATTCAGAAACAATGGACAGATTATGTAGAGCAGAGAAGGCTGAAAGAAAGGCAGATTATGGAAGGCCTCAAATACATGAGAAATTGTTAGTCCATAGGGAGTTCTTAGAGGTTTTCAAGCAGAGCTCTGACATAATCAGAATTGTGTTATAGGATGAATCCCCTACTCTAAATACCCGCTGAGTTGTCAGCTACCTTTTTTCCTGAACTCCTCCCATCCTACTAAGATTTTGCATAAGTAGAGCCAGCTGTACTCAGTGGTAATGGACTAGGATGGCGCATAGGGAAGAGAAATTAAAAATGACTTCTGGGTCATTGGGAGAGTGACGGTGCTGTTACCAGAAATTTTATACTTAAAAATATTTTAGCTCAAATAAAAGGATTGAAAGTGTAAGTTAAGATTCCATCCCTCCCCCACCCCCCATGAAAGAAAATTAAACCATAGGAAAGCATTTATTCATAAGGCTTGTTATTATTTAGGATTAGAGGCCCAATGCACGAAATTCGTGCCAGAGTAGACTTTCCTTCCCCCGGCTGCCATCACCGGCTTCCCACTGGCACCCGGGACCCGGGCTTTCCTCTGGCCACTGGCAGGCACCCGGGACCCGGGCTTCCCTCGAAGCCCCAGCTTGCTCCGGAAGGTTGTCCGGTCTAATTAGCATATTATGCTTTTATTATTATAGATATTATTATAGATTGGTTATCTGATGTATTTTTTGTTTATGTTTTGCTGCCAAGGAAAATTCTCAGGATAGCATGTACCTCCAGTATTGTCAAGTCTGCCAAGCATACAAGGCACCGCGGTCACATCACTGTCGAAAGTGTAACAGGTACTGTCTTTGCCATTCACTTTAGGGACTGATCACCTCGACAAGTGGTCTTTTGTTCTTTCTGCCACATCAGTCCTAATTTTATTCTCTGCAAGGTGGCTACTTTATAAACAACATTGTCAAAATACTTGTGTCCATAATCTCCATATTATTCTTAAATCATCAATTCTGATAATAAATACATCTCTTTTGTTATATGTGAAAGACTTTTCTAGAAAATACAGATTAACTTTGCTTCTTGCCCTGCCAAGAGCATGGTTGAAAGTCATATCTGCAAATTGTTGCCATAGATCATGAATTAACTTCGAATTGTTCTGAGTCTAATTATAGAGGAGAGCTGCTTTTTTTCCTTTATCTTGACTAACTTTTACACTTCATGCAAATCTAATAAATAATCCAGGTGCCTATTATCATAGTGTTTAATATAAAAAACTTAATGAGAGAAAAACTGAGTCACTATAAAAATGTGAAATAAGCTAGAACCTTTAAAAATGAACAGCTGTATCCACTTCTTAATAAGAACTTTTGATGAGAGTGTTGAGGTTTAGGGGAACTGTGGAGGCAAAGAAAGTTGGCTTGAGGACAGGAAATTTTCTAGCAATAAAAGGGAAGGAAGCTTGCTAAGACTTTGCTTATTATACCACATCTTATATTTAGTAGTTGCTTGTTTAACTCAGAGGTTCCACATCTAAAGGATGAGGACAGGAAGGAAGTTACATGCGTCTGCTAGGTCCCATCAACCCCAGTGGAGATTTTTAAGTGATTTTGTTGAGTCTCTATTGTACTTCACTTCAGTCACTGCATTTCAGAGCTGGAGAAAAACCAGGAACCATAGTCATTTCTTTATTATGAACCTCTCAGTAGGCCTCCTGACTTCTTCAAACAAATTCATATGGAGCAGACATCTTTTCATCAGAAGCTGTTTCAAAACCTGCCCTTTCTTTCCCTGTTTAGAATCTAAAAGAAGTCACTGTCCCGAATTGTTTAAAAACTCATAAAGATGTTTCTTTTTGTTTCATGAATTGTGATTTCTTTTTGACTTATGAACATGCTGGATTCCTGTTTGCTTGGTCTGTTTTTGTCAATCCTTACTTGAGGCTATGTTTTTATTTTAGAGACAGATGATGGGAGAGAGAGAAACATTGATGTGAGAGAGAAACATCAGTTGGTTACCTCCTTTATGTGTCCCAACCAGGGATTGAGCCTGCAACCTAGGTATGTGCTCTGACCGGGAATCGAACCCCACAACCTTTTTGGTATATGGGACGATGCTCTAACCATCTGAGCCACTCAGCCAGGGCTGCTTGGTCTTTTGAAGACCAAAGTTATTTCAAGTCGACAGGATTTCCTGCCTCATGTTTCATGTAAATGTTTCTTGTTAGGTGTGTGCTGAAGATGGACCATCACTGTCCTTGGATCAACAACTGTTGTGGTTACCAAAATCATGCTTCATTCACACTGTTTCTCCTGTTAGCACCATTGGGTTGTATTCATGCTGCCTTCATTTTTGTTATGACGATGTATACACAGCT